GTGATATCAGAGAATGGTAAAAATCAGAACTAGCTCTAATCTGGGGGAGCAACATATTTGAGCCTTTTTCTTTCTTTCTTTCTTTCTTTCTTTCTTTTGAGCCTTTTTTTTTTTTTAGACAGGGTCACAGTTATAAAGTTCAGACTTATCATCAAACTCAAGGCAATCCTCCTGCCTCAATCTCTTGTGCATGACCATGATGGTAAGCCCTTCATTTGTTAGATGGCAAATCCCGTATCTAGGGCCCCAGTATATGTCCAGGTCTGTTGTGAGAAAGAGCTGGTGAGGGGGACAACAGATGGGAGCAACTAAGTCTGAGACTAAGCCCCCACCCCTTCCGCTTTTGCCTCCCTTTCTCTGAGCAGCCGGGCTGGTCTGCTTATCTTCCCTAGATCTCTCAGCAGGTGCCACTGTCCTGCCTTTGTTATCCTGTCCCAAAGCCTGGAATGATGTCCTTTACCCCACTCCTGAACCTTTCTGGTCTGGCAAGTCCGCCCTGCAGCCTCCTCCCTACAGGGTCCTCCCACAGCCCTGGAATGTCCAAGGTACTTACGCCCACACCCACAACTGCCACGGGGCATCCTGAGCCAGGCCTGGACTTTGCCATTCCAGTCCCTTTGGGTTTTTATTTTGAGACCGGATCAGGCTGGCTTCCAGCTGTGTTGCTGAGGATGACCTTGAACTGGTCTTCCCACCTCCACCTCCCCAGGGCCGGGATTACACACCAGAGAGCCCCCCCCTTTTTTTCCTTTTTTTTTTTGAGGTGCTGAGGCTGGAAGATTTGTCTTTGAGGGCCCTTGCTACCAGGCCTGGATCCCCACTTTGATTTTTGAGACTAGGTCTCATGTATTGTTGGCTAAACTCAAACTTGTTCCATAGCAAAGGATGGATTTGAATTCCTCATCCTCCTACGTCCACCGCCCACCTCTCTGCTGCTGGATTTATTCAGTGCTGGGAAGGAACCCAGTGTTTCCTGAACACTTGCAAGCTTTCTAGTTCTGAGCCCCAGCCCACAGTTCTTTGCGGAAAGGAAACCAAGTCCTCCCCTGTTCACAGGAAAGTGTGGCTCGGATCCACATCTGAGGTCAACACACAACTCTGTGGAGCCAGCCCTCTCTTCTGTTTTAATGTGGGTTTGGGGGCAGAACCCACAGCCCCAGGCTTGCACCGCAGGTGCCTTTGCTGGCTGAGCCATCTCACTGGCCCCCTTGCCCCTTCTTGACTCCATGGGTATAACCAAGTCTTGTGAGGAAATTATCAAAGCGTTTTCTTGTCAGGTGTGGTGGCTTGTGATCAGTACTAGCACTCAGGAGGTAGGGGCGGGAGGATCATGAGTTCGAGACCATCCTTCATCGCGTAGCCCGGTTTGAGGCCAGTCTGGGCTACCTGAGACTCAGAGACAGACTCCAGCGGTTCCGTTTTCCTTCCAAAGTTAATTTTATTGCTCTCTCTAGTACTTGGGACCACATTCAGGACCTCCAGTGTCAGGCAAGGGCTCTACTGTTGAGCCGTCCGCACCTCCTCCTAGTTAAACATTTAAACATTAGGTGGCCGAGTGTGGTGTTGAACACCTGTAATCCCAGCACCCGAGGCAGAGGCAGGTGGATCTCTGTGAGTTTGAAGTCTACCTGGTCTGTATAGGGAGCTCCGGACCTGCCGAGGCTACGTAGTGAGACCCTGTTTCAAAACAAAAACAAAATCTCAACCAGCAAAACAAACAACAACTCTCCCATCCCCAAGGTGCACGGATGTATTTCCTGGATAAAGGGCTAGCCTAGCATACCAGAGGTTCTGGGTTCAAGCCCTAGCGCTGTCTAACATGGAAGTTGTGCAGACACACAGGAGCGGTTGCTGCAGAATCAGGGCTTTAGAATCCTGCTAGGCCTCAGCCAGTTAAAGGCCCACCAGGCCTACACTTATCACAAAAGAGCAGCTACATCCTGTTCCTTTCTTGGGTCCATGAGATGACTCCACAGGTAATGGGGATCGCTGCCAACTCTGGTGACCTAAATTTCATTGTGGCGCCCATGTAACCACTGACCTCCTCTGACCTCCATAAGCATGTGTGCCATGGCACACGAACACATTCATGCACACATATACAGTAAATAAATAAATATTTAAAAAGACAAAAAAGTTAGGTTTTTTTCTATTGCTTACCTCACCCCCTGTGCTAGAGGTAGAGCCCAGGGTTTCTAGGCAACCGTACCACTGCTGAAACAAACGTTAGCCCCTCGTAGGGGATTCCAGCAAGTGCTCTATATTTCTAGATTTTAAATACTTATTTTTATTTTATATGCATTGGTGTTTTGTCAGATCCCCTAGAAGTGGAGTTATAGACAGCCGTGAGCTGCTGTGAGGTGTTCAGAACTGAACCAAGTCCTCTGGAAGGGCAGTTGGTGTTCTTAACCTCAAGGTCATTTCTCCAGCCCCTCTAGACATCTCTAGACATTTTTTTTTTAACTTTTTGAAATAGAGTGTCACCAAACGGTCCAGGTTGGCTTAGATTTTACTGTAGAGCCCAGGCAAGACCTAAACTTTGTATCCCTCTGCCGCAGCTTCTCAGGTGGCTGGGACCTGTACAAGCAGCCAACCTAGGCAGGCATAGCTCTTTGTTCCAAGCTGGTCTAGCTTCCCCCGTGACTCAGGAAAGCCAGTCTGCCCCTCTCCCCCGTTAGCTTAGCCACAAATAACACGGGGAGAGTGGTAGGACAATTGTTTACTCTGTTCTGTCCCTGTTTAGATGTGGCCTTGTCTAGCTCAAACTGGTTGAAGTCACCAGGTTCTTGGCTTGGGGCTGTACGTGTGTCCAAGGAAAGTTCTTTTGACGTCACGGGCCCCAGACTCTACAGTCTTACAGTCTCAGATCAGGCGAAGCCACGCTTTTCTGAATAAGTCACCTTCTCACACAATTCGCATCACTCCATTTCTTTTTCTTTAAATTCTCTATTTTTTTACATTTATTTATTTTCTATTGTTGCTCTGTGCATGTGTTTGGTGGCAGTCAGAGGACAACTTGCTGGAGCTGGTTCTCTCCTTTGGTCACGTGAGTTCTGGAGACTGAACTCAAGTTACCCCCTGAGCCTGTTTCTTTGTCTCATAAATACCTTGAAATTCCCTTTATGGAGGAAGGGTTGCGACAGTCTTTGTGTGTGTGTGTGCACATGTGTGTATCTGTGTGTGTGTCTATGTGTGTGTATGTACACACATATAGGTATGAACATACCATGTATTCTTGCTCGCTTTCTCCTCTCTCTCTCTCTCTCTCTCTCTCTCTCTCTCTCTCTCTCTCGGGGTTTTCAAGACAGGGTTTCTCTGTAGCTTTTGGTGCCAGTTCCGGAACTAGCTCTTGTAGACCAGGCTGGCCTCGAACTCACAGAGATCCTCCTGCCTCTGCCTCCTGAGTTCTGGGATCACTCTGCCACCACACCTGGCACACTGAGTGAGCGAATTGCTGCGCAAATTTTCTGCCCCCTTATCTTTCTGAGACAAGGTCTCCTCTCTATGTAGCCCAGGTCGGCCTTTAATCCATGATCCTCTTAACCCCCCAAGTGCTGTGAACACACAACACACATGTGATGACTGGTTAAACCGACACCTTAGTATTTTTTCTATTTATGTGTGTATGTGTGTGTGTGTGCACACGCGCGCGTGTGTGTGTAGAGCATGAGTACATGTGTGAGTGCCATAGTGAATGTGTAGAGGGCAGAGGACAACTTGTAGGGGTCATTTCCCCTCATTCACCATGTGGGTCCTGGAGATCCAACTCAGGTTACTGGGCTTGGTGGCAAGCGTGCTTTTACCTGCTGGGCCACCTTGCTGGTTCTAATTCAATATCTTTTTTTTTTTAAATATTTATTTATTATGTATACAATATTCTGTCTGTGTGTATGCCTGCAGGCCAGAAGAGGGCACCAGACCTCATTACAGATGGTTGTGAGCCACCATGTGATTGCTGGGAATTGAACTCAGGACCTTTGGAAGAGCAGGCAATGCTCTTAACCACTGAGCCATCTCTCCAGCCCCTAATTCAATATCTTTTGCAAAATCATTGCTTCAAGGACTGTCATATTGCTAGGGGGCAGGATGGGACGCGGTTGTGTGACAGTAGGTAGCAGTCTCTTCATTTCTTTTATTTTTCTTTTCTATGTCTGGTATGTGTGTAGCTCCGAAACCGAGTGTGGTGGTGGGGGCGGTGGGCATCTACACATGTGCAGTCACGTGGAGGTTAGAGCAAGGTCTTAGGTGTCTTCCTCTCTGGCATCTCTGCCGCTGGCCTTATTACTTTGAGGCAGGATCTCTCCCTGAGCTGAAAGCTGACCATTTTGGGTCCACCCATTTTCTGACCCCAGCGGTGGTATTACACGCAGGTAACTCAGGTTACATAAAGGCAAGTCATGATTTCTATGTGGCTGCCAAAGATGTCAGTTCAGTTTTTCAGGCTTCGCAGAGCACGCTCTCTTACCCACGGAGCTCGCTCTAGCTCCATGTACCTGAATTCTGGGTCCAAAGAAACCAGAGGGATCTTTTCAATCCCTTTGGGGCAAACCTAGCGAAACATCTCTAATGGGCAGGCTTGGGAAAATGCGTGGGTCTCCTTCTTCCTCAGGGGTCATTGGTCACCGGTCCATGAAGATGGAGGGGCAGAAGCAGGGAACAGAGTTCAGATAGCTGTCGATAGATACATCAGAGGTAGCCTTCCGGGAGATGACTTCAGAGGGACAACTCAACTTTATTCCAGAGTATATAGGAAGTATATAGAAATAGATTGGGAAACCTAGCTGGAGACAAACCCTAATCTGCATTAAGTGGCAGGCTCCTATCACAAAGCCGGATTAATGGAAGCAGGGCCCTATCAGAATGGCTAGAGAATTAACCTAATTATCACGTGGGCATCAGGGGAAGAGCGTCAGTTGTGGGCAACTATATCAAGGCTCATCCTTGAGGTAAGGCAAGCGTCCTATAGAGAAGGTTAGTAGGGCACTAGGAGCCCCTGCTGGCAGGGAGTCCTTCATGTGGCCAAGCTTGGAGAAAGGTGCTGGGCCCATTGGCAGACTGCAGCCTTTGACCAGCAAGATCTCCCAACAAGATGAACCCATTTTTACAGACAGAGGGCAGGAAGACAGGCCAGGCTAAGGCCTCACACAGAGGATCAGTGGTCAACGGGAGCCACAACGCTGGGCCTCCCTCCATTACCCTGGGTTCTCCCCTGCTTTCGGTAAAGGTAGATGATACCGGAGATGAAGCCGTCATTGGCACAGGTGTCCAGCCCCGTCTCCTGTTCGGAGGTGGCCAGTTCCCAGTGCTCCACAGATTGGGCCACCAGGCGTTCCCACGCTCCAGCCTGCTCCAGGGAGTCTAAGACTGCTTCCAGTGCCTCCTTGTAGGGAAGATTGGATGGGTTGCTCCTGGTAGTCAGACATATGAGTCCACCTGGCGCGAGATGGGGGAGGGGATGTGAGAGGGAGGGCTACAGGGGTGTCCCTGCTCAAGACTTCAGTTCCTGGCCAGCTTCCCACCTCCAGGGTTTGGTGCTTAAAGTTGCCTCCCCAGGAATTCTCTTTCTTTTTCTCAACCTGATGGTCTCCCACGGCCCTCATTAAAAAAAAATTTTTTTTTTCAGGGTTGAAGATAAAAACATGGGCCTCAAGCATGCTCAAAAAGATATTACAGATGAGCTATGTTTCCAGTCGCTCACTGAGAGATTCTAACCAGGTCCACACCCCCAGTCCCTCCCTGGGGGGGGGGGGGGGTTCTAGGCAGGTGCTTTACCACTGAGCTGTTCCACTGAACAAAGTCCCCTTTCATGGCAGTTTCTAGGTAAGCACATGAGCTTTGGTCCTTAGGAAGACCATTTCTTTTTTTTTGTTTGTTTTTTCAAGACAGGGTCTCTCTGTAGCTTTGGAGCCTGTCTGGAACTAGCTCTTGGAGACCAGGCTGGCCTCAAACTCACAGAGATCCACCTGCCTCTGCCTCCTGAGTGCTGGGATTAAAGGCGTGCGCCACCACCGCCCAGCTGACCCTTCATTTCTTTGTGCCTAAGTGGTGCTGTTTCTTTATTTTAGATATGACAAAGGGAGGGGAATTGTGGTGATATTTTGTTTGTGCTTTAACAAAGCTTGCCTGACCTGATGATCAGAGTGTGGAGTTAGCCACTAGGTAGCTGTAGAGGCCAGGCAGTGGTGGCACACCCTATAATCCCAGCACTCGGGAGTCAGAGGCACCCGGATCTCTGTGAGTTCAAGGCCAGCCTGGGCTACACAAGTCTAAAAGAGGACCAGAGTCAGAGGGGCGGTGGCTCACACCTTTAATCCCAGTACTTGGAAGCCACAGGCCTTTAATTCTAGCACTAGGGAGGTGGAGACAGGAAGGCATCTGGCTGGGTGGAGAGAAGAATACAAGGCAGGAAGAGGCAGGAGCTCAAGACATTCAGTCAAGGATTCATGGAGATAGGATCCCCCTTGGTTCTGAGGACTCAGTGGAGAACTAGTGGCTGGCCTTCTCTAGGGCGGTCGCACAGGCAGCGGCTGTGTGAAGCCGGGCTCAGGCAACATGCACTACAAGTTTAGCGGTTTCACTCAGAAGCTGGCTGGAGTTTGGACTTCGGAAGCCTATAGTCCACAGGAGCTGACGCTGAATCATTGCTCAGAGTAGCGCGAGAAAGCTTGGTGGAACGTGAAGCTGGAAAACCTTGATTAGAATAACGGCCTTTGGTGACTCCTGTGAAAGGGATGTTTGGTCCCCAAAGAGGTTGCGACCTGCAGGTTGAGAAGCGCCGCCACAGAGGAACGCTGCTTTCTGGCTTATTCCTACCTCATGGGCCAGCAAACTGCATCAGCCGTGGACAGTGCAGTAAAAACAGCTGAGCTTCACTGAGGGGAATGCACAGCGCCTAAGAATTGATGGGGTGAGACCCTGGGACAAGAAGGGTTGGAGCCAGTGGTTTCCATGGAAGCATCACCTATCATGTTTGCCACCCCGACTAAACTGACCCCCACAGTGCCAGCATAGGACTGTGCTGGGAAGAACAAAGTTCCCGAGCTGCAGAGTTCGTCCAGAAGACTGACGGTGTGTCCACCGGCCTGAGACGAGGCCTTCCCGACCAAATGCTTTACCAGACCACCAGGGCGCTGACTATAGGGACCATCTATTGCCAGCTTCGCAGTCCAAAAACAAAGGAATTGACCTGCGGGGGACTGGTTTACTTTGTGGCACAAGCCCTTTGACTTTTCAGTTTTCTGTTTAGTAACATTTTTGCAAACAAAGGAAAAGATAAGAACACAAGCAAAGCGTTCTGGTTGTTTATGAAATGCAGGCTGCCTCTCAGCTCAGATGTCAGAGCTCTTTTGACAGTTAAAACTGTTGTTTGAGGGGGTGATGCTGAGCCGCTGAGCCGTATTTGTGCTCCTGATTTCCCTGGAGGTTCTGGATGGAAGTGCCTCACTGCCGCATTAATGGCAGGCAGCCTGGGCTCAGTCTGGGACTCGAGGCTGTGTCGAAGAAGGAACTCCAGAAGCCTTTCTGGGTTTAGGTGTGACCGAGTGAGGAAGACAGCGGCTGGAGAGGTCCGACGTGTGAAATGAGGGCTTCGAGTTAGCCTTCTGGGGTTTTTTTTCCACCTTGCAGTGAAATGTTCATAGAAATTATTTGCAGTCTGCCTGCTTGTTGGGCAGTTTGTTTCAAAGGGTTATGGCTGCACCCAGCTCCTAAGTGAAATGCTTTGTCTCCATCACGGAAAAGAGAACACTGGCCAGTGTCGCCATTTAGACGGCTGGACCAGGACCAGAAAATCTCCTTCAGTAATGCTACGGCTTTAAGCCATGATTTATTTGACTGTAGAATAAATACATGAATAATAAAAAAATAAAGAACTAGTGGCTGGCTACTCTGTTCTCTGATCTTTCAACATTCACCTCTATATCTGACTCGGGGTTTTTAGTATTAAAACAAATTATAATTCACACTGCAGGAAATGACAATTTTGTGTCATGGGACAGGGTGCATCTGTGTGCCTGTGTGCACAGATGTGTGCAATCCCTGGCTGACCCAAGCATGGCAGCTGAGACCTATTACTCTAGTGTTTAGCTCAGGTTGGAAGAAAAACAAAGCTTAAACAAAACCTGGAGAGCTTATTTAAAAGTTGTTATATCTACGTGTGTGTCTGTGCATCGCGTGTGCATAGTGCCCGTGGAGGCCAGAAAAGGGCACTGGATTTCCTGGAACTGGAGTTGCAGAAGGTTTGAGCCACCATGTGGGTGCTGGGAATCGAACCCTGGTCCTCTTAACCACTGAGCCATCTCTCTAGCCCTAAGAAAGCTCAGAATTTGAATCTGGGCTACTTAACGGCAGTGATTCCCAGGCTGCCCTGGGCTATAGCACGACCTTGTAACATTATGAAGGCTTCCCCCAAATTGGAATTTCCCCAGGAGTCTCAGGCAGGAAGAAGGAAAAGGCAGGAGCCTGGTGTCAGCAGAGGAACTTCTCTCCCTGACGAGGGTTCACACTGTTCGGATAGTTGTTATTGAGACACTGGGGCCCAGACAATGATGGGCCAGTGATAGGGGGACTTTGTCCAAGCAGTTGCAGTGTATCCAGTATGGCTGGTTTTTGGCAGATTGGTTGAGGAAGAGCTATGGTACTGCTGGGGGTGGTGACGGGGAGGCTCAGGCTGGAACAGGAGAGTCTGTTTTGTTTAGGTTCATGCCACGGGCATTTCCGGTGCTTCTGAGTCCAACCCTTGCTGCTACAGATGACACAGCTGATGGCCTACCTTTTGTTGGCCTTTCCAGAACAGAATCCTGCCCAGACATGCCTAGGTTTAGCTCCAGGAGCGGGGCTAGTGAGAGGGAGTATTTTTATCTCACGGCTTCCTCATTCCTCCTCAGGCCAGGCCAGGCAGGTAAACCCTCTTCTGGATTTTTCTAATCTCTTCCCTCCTGACTTCTTCCAGGCAACTCCTTACCCTATCTTCTGTGGATGCCTGCCCCCACCCTTGAAAAAGCAACTTCATACTGAGTGCTGAGTCCTTATTGCTTTCTCTGAAATCCCCCAGTGAGGGGCTGGGGTGTGGCTCAGTGGTAGAGCACCTGCCTAGAATCCCCCAGTGAGGGGCTGGGAGCATGGTTTAGCAGTAGAGCTTCTTTCTAGAATGGTTCAGTGAAGGACTGTGGAGTGCGAAGCTCATTTGATGCTGGAGTTGCATCCCCAGCACCATAAGAAAGAGAACAGGGGCCGGGCAGTGGTGGCGCACGCCTTTAATCCCAGCACTCGGGAGGCAGAGGCAGGCGGATCTCTGTGAGTTCGAGACCAGCTTGGTCTACAAGAGCTAGTTTCCGGGGGCTGGAGAGATGGCTCAGCGGTTAAGAACATTGCCTGCTCTTCCAAAGGTCCTGAGTTCAATTCCCAGCAACCACATGGTGGCTCACAACCATCTGTAATGAGGTCTGGTGCCCTCTTCTGGCCTGTAGGAATACACGCAGACAGAATATTGTATACATAATAAATAAATATTTAAAAAAAAAAAAAAGAGCTAGTTTCCAGGACAGGCTCCAAAACCACAGAGAAACCCTGTCTCGAAAAACCACCAAAAAAAAAAAAAGAAAGAGAAAAGGCCTGGGTTGCTCCACCTGTTTATGGGCTTGATTCACACTGTCTGTCCCCATTGTCATCTTGCATGAACAGACCTGGACCTATGCCAGGAAAGGAAGACAATGGAAAGGATTCGAGTAAGGGCGGTCCCAAATCAGTAAGGGGACCAGAGGATGGAGCTGAACTGAGCTCTCCTGTGTGCCAGGGCCCCAGGGACATGACTGTACCCACTGTCACTGCAGTCTGTTAGGGAAGGGATTGCAGTGACCATGCCATTTGTTTAAGAAAGGGAACAAAGGCCAGAAGGGTGGAGCTCCTCTTAGTTGTTCATGGCTAGCAGGTGAGCTGGCCACCTGTCTGCCCTTATCGCGGGTCTGCCTCTGTTGGTGGCAGCCAGGGTGGAGCACAAGCTGGCTGATGGTGAGCTGGGAAGCTGTATGGGGTGTGTGTGTGTGTGTGTGTGTAACCCTACACAATGCCCTACCCTTCCTCACTGTGTGAGTCCAGGGTCTGCGAGTTGTGGAGAGGGGAAAGGGGTGTGTCTCTGGGGAGGGGTTGACTGGACTGTGACTCACCCGGCTTGGTGACTCTTAAGAGCTCAGGAACGGCACTGCAGGGCACCTGTCCCTCGCTGAGGGCACCTACCATGATCACTGCGTCAAAGGTCCCTGCGTGTGGAGAGGGGTGAAGACATGTGATGATAACGATTCATCGTCAACTTGACAGGATCTGGGATTCAGAGCCCTGGGCTGGTCTGTGAGGGAGTTCCTAGATTGAGTTAATTTAGCAGGAAAGATCTGCCCTAGGGGAGGACAGCACCATCCCCTGGCTGGGGTCCTGGACCAAAGATCAAGAACTCGAGTTGACAGCACTCGGGAGGCAGAGGCAGGCGGATCTCTGTGAGTTCAAGACCAGCCTGGTCTACAGAGCTAGTTCCAGGACAGGCTCCAAAGCCACAGAGAAACCCTGTCTCGAAAAACCAAAAACCAAAAAAAAAAAAAAAAAAAAAAAAAAGAACTCGAGTTGAGCATCAGCGGTCACCTCTCTGCTTCCTGGCTGCAGCTGTCTCATGCTCCTGATGCCAGGGCTTCCCCACCAGGATGTGGGGACCAAAAGAAAACCCTCCTTCCCTTAATTTGCTTTAAAATTTATTTTATTTTTGGATTTTCTAGACAGCGTTTCTCCGTAGCTTTTGGTTCCTGTCCTGAAACTAGCTCTTGTAGACCAGGCTGGCCTCAAACTCACAGAGATCTGCCTGCTTCTGCCTCCCGAGTGCTGGGATTAAAGGCATTTGCCACCACTGCCTGGCTAATTATTTTATTTAATTATTTTTTAATTAACTAATCAATTAAACTTTGATTTGACGTGTATGGGTATTTTGTTTGAGTGTATGTTTGTACATTGCTTGTATATAGCACCCACAGAGGTCAGACAAGGGTAACAGACACCTCCCCTAGAACTGGAGTTACTGAAGGTTGTGAACCCGGGTCCTCTGCAAAGTCATCAAATGTTCTCAACTGTTTAGCTGTCTTAAGCTCACTTTGTTGTTGTTGTTGTTTTATTTTTTTTGGTTTTTTTTGAGACAGGGTTTCTCTGTAGCTTTGGAGCCTGTCCTGGAACTAGCTCTTGTAGACCAGGCTGGCCTCCAATCACTTTGTTTTTATTTTTAATTGTGCGTTTATGTGTACGGATATGTGTACATGCCTGTGATGCCCCTTTGATCCAGAAGAGGGCCGTGGGTCCCTTGAAGCCATTGTGAGTTTGCCTGGGGTGGATGCTGGGAACAGAACCTGAGTTCTCCACAAATCAGTGTGAGAGTTGAACTGCTGAGCCGTCTCCCCAGCCTAGTTACCTGTGATTTAAAACCTTTTTTAAACATTATTTTATTTTTAGTTGTGAACTTAGCCTTTGGCAGCTGCTGAGCCCAATTTTTATTATTTTAGATTCTGTATATGCACGCGTGTCTCTGTATGGGTTTGTGCACACGAGCACGGGTGCTCACGGAGGCCGGAGGCATCATATCTCCTGTGACTGGAGTCACAGGGAGTTGTGAATCACCAGATGTGGGTGCTGGAATCCAAACTCAGGTCCTCTGCAAGAGCGATATGTGCTCTCCAATCCAAGTCTTATGCCACTGCACGGATAGAGTGCAGTTTGGTCCTTTCCACTCCGATTTCTCTCATCCCCCTCTAGAGTCTGATGCCCCCCCCCCCATTAGTTCTTCAAGACAGGGTTGCTCTGTGTAGCCTGGCTGTCCTGAAACTCACCATGTAGACCAGGCTGGCCCCGACCTCACAGAGATCCACCTGCCTCTACCTCCTTAGCGCTGGGATGAAAAGTGTGCGCCACCGCCACCATCCTTGCTATTTTCATGTTTTGTTTTGTTTGTGACCCACGAGTTTAACTGGGGATGGACTGCATGAGCTTGGTGTGTGTGTGTGTGTGGGGGGGGCGGTACTGAAGCATGGGCAACTTACCAGTGGCTACACCACTGAAGAAATGACTGTCCCTCCCCCAGCAGCTTCACCGCCCTAGGGATGGGTGGGACCTCATGATGGCATTGCTTTTGTCTGGTATTTTGTCAGTGCAATAAGAACAGTAATTAGGGCTGGAGAGATGGCTCAGAGGTTAAGACACTACGGTTCTTCCTGAGGTCCTGAGTTCAATTCCCAGCTACCACACAGTGGCTCACAACCAACTACAGTGAGATCTGGTACCCTTTTCTGGGGTGTAGGCAAAACATACAGGCAGAACACCATATATATATAATAAATAAATAAATCTTAAAAAAAAAGAAAAGTGATTAATCAAGATGTCACAGTATAGAAGGACTTCAGGCACTTGTGGGTGGGAGGGGCTCACACAGGGCTCCAGAGTGAAGATGGAGGCTGGACAGTAGGGAATGCTCTTGGCAATGAGGGTGAGGGTGGAGGGGAACGGGAAGTACCTTCAGAGCTGGGCAGCGGCTCCTGGCCCAGTGTGCAGAGGCTGAGGTGGTGGTACAGGCCACGTGCCTGAGCCTGCTTCAGCATTTCTGGGCTTCCATCCACCCCTTGTACCTGGAGGAAGCCCCGAGCCTGCAGCTGGGAGAGAAGGTGGCATTGATCATGGCTCATCCCGGCCACTGCTCAGCTGAGTCCTTGTATGTGGTGACCAACAAGCCAGAGACAGAGGATGGGTTGGTTCTTGGTTAAGGAGTGGCAGAGAGCTAGATGTGGTGGCACAGGCCTGTCATCTTGGCTTCTCTGGAGGCTGAGGCTTGAATCCTAAATTCAAGGCCAGCCTGACAACCAGAGAGAACTTCTCTCGAAATAAAAAGCAAACTAAAGGGCCACGGGTGTGGTTCATTGGTACAGGGCTCATTAACAATCCCCCAGTTAGGGGTTGGGGTGTGGTTCAGTGGTAGAGCACCTGCCTAGAATCCCCCAATGGCCAGGTGGTGGTGGCGCATGCCTTTAATCCCAGCACTCGGGAGGCAGAGGCAGGTGGATCTCTGGGAGTTTGAGGCCAGCCTGGTCTACAAGAGCTAGTTCCAGGACAGGCTCTAAAACCACAGAGAAACCCTGTCTGGGAAAAAAACAAAAAGAAAAAAAAAAGAATCCCCCAGTGAAGGCTGGGGCATGGTTTAGTGACAAGTACATGGTTCGAATTCCCCAGTGAGAGACTGGGTTTATGTGTGGTAGATAACGTATTTACAATTCACTAGCCAAGGGTGCTGGGTGCTGAAAGGAAGTGGGGCATCACGGTACCAGCAGGTCTTACCTCCACGGCCACCAGGCCAGTGCCACAGGCCACATCCAGGATCAGAGCATCTTGGGGCGGGCCCGGAAGGGCTCGACTGAGACAATCCACAGCAAGGCAGGGAGCTCGGTACTTCAATGCAGCCACATCCTGGGGACAGAACACTTAGTCTAGCACCCTCTGGTGCCCTAGAGTTTGGAGGACGCACTTGGTCCGGTGCTTACACACCTGCTGATTTGAGTTGATGGGTGTTGGAGTTTGGGTCCTTCTGGGACCTCAGTAATAGAAGATCCAGGCTTGAAGTGTCTTTTACTGTCAAGGGTCCCCATACCTGTGGGACTCAAGCAGGCAGCAACTGGCTACTTGACTGGGGCAGCTCTAAGCCCGGCTGTCTATATTGAGTGACGTCTCAATAGCGCCCCCTGCAGGCAGTCTCCCTGTCTGGTTGGCAGTGTTAAGGTGGGACATAGGGGACGTCCAATCCAGAGTTAGAGGTGGTGCTTAGAGGCCGGTAGGGGCCAGCTCCCAGCTTCCCTGGGATGCGCGGGTACTATTCGCGCTTTGCACATAAAAACACAATCTGGGCCTCCCAAATTAAGGACCAACGTGCATTCACCTTATCGTACTCTGGAGCCCAGTCGTCATAGAAGCGGAGCTTGCAGGCCAGGTCGGTGATGCCGTGGGAGGCCCCGACACGGGCCAGTACTTGGGGCAGCCTCCCAGCTTCCTCCCGAGTCATCCTCCTGTGGGGACAGAACAGAACTGTGACGAGGTCCACCACAGTCTCCCGTCCTCCCTCACCCAGTGGAGGAGGTTACCAGAGCTTCAACTCCTTTCCACGGCACATACAAGTGCCAGAGTGGGAAATGGCGGGAGCTGACTTGTACACCAGGGAACTGTTCCTGGGGGAAGGGTGGGCAAAGGGGGCACTCCTGCGCAGGGAATGAGAACTGCACCTCAGCCTGTCACCCCTGGGCGTGGATCGGGAGTCTTCCTCACTGCAAGGGTCTCCAAGGAGCAGAAAGCTCACCACTCACTGCAAGGACTCCCCCTTTGCAGGGCAGAGGAACTGGAGGAAGGGCAGCACGGAGAGTCTGGCCCCGCCTCCAGAACGCGACGATTGGGTTTCCATGAGAGAAAACAGCCAATCAAAGCAAAATACTGACAATCCGCCCCCTACCACAAGCCAGTGAGTAGTAAACTTTGGTCCTTCTTCGGAAATTCAGTCGGATTTTTTTACATTATTATTATTATTATTATTATTATTATTATTATTATTATTATTATTATTATTATTTTGGTTTTACGCGCAGGGTTTCTCAGTGTAACACAACTCTGGCTGTCCTGGAACTCACTCTGTAGACCAGGCTGGCTTCGAACTCACAGAGATCCACCTGCCTCTGCCTCCCGAGTCCTGGAATTAAGGCGTGCACCACCACCGCTCGGCTTGGTTTTATTTTTTCACAAATAAATAAACAAATTTTTTAGAGACAAGGTCTTGCAATATATCCCTGAACAACTTGGAATTTTATGTAGACCAGGACTCGGAGCTCACAGAGAACCTCCTACCTCTGCCTCTCAGCCCTCTGCTGCCGCTCCGGGCTACAGTATTAAAACAAAAATTATTCATTTGAGGATTGCCCGTGGTGGTCAGAGAACAACTTTCTGGAGTCTCAGCTCCCCTTCCGCCGCATTGGTTCCAGGGATGGGACTCAGATTGTGAGGCTCGGCTGCAAGAACCTTCACCTGCCAAGCCATCTCTCTGGTCCCAGTTTTTAATTATTTTATGGTTTCATGTAGCTCAAGTTGGTTTTAAAGTTTCTGTGCAGCCGAGAATGGCCCTGAACGTCTCATCTTCCTGCCCCTACGTCCCAGGTGCTGAGGTTACAGGTGTAATTTATGTGGTTTTAGGCTTTGAAGTCAGGGCTTAGTGTATGCTAGACAAGCACTCTATCACTTGAGCTGCATCCCCAGTCTTTGCAAGTATTTTAATTAATTCATTTTTTAGAGTATTTTATAATCTGTACTGTTCATCAGAGGTGATACAGCCTCACATGGGTGTTGAGAATACCAAACTGTTTAGTGCATGAAATAAACTGAATTTCAACTTTTTTTTTTTTTTTTGAGACAGGGTTTCTATGCGGAGCTCTGGCTGTCCTGGAACTCTCTGTAGACCAGGCTGGCCTTGAACTCACAGAGATCCACCTGCCTCTGCCTCCCGAGTACTGGGATTAAAAGCATCCACCACCGCATCCAACAGTCTTCATAATTTAACTGTCTATCTTGGGTAGTGGCTATCTTACTGGACAGGGCAATTTCTACCCTGGGGCTGTAGCTCAGCTGGTATTTATCCCACAGGCACACGGCTCTGGGTTCAATCCCCAGCAACACAGAAAACTGGGTGTGGTGATGCACTTGAGAGGCAGAGGCAGCAGGGTCAGGAGTTTAAAGTTATTCCCTGCCCCGGGTTTCTGCTCAAACTCAGGTGGCTTCAGACGAGGCCCTTCTATGAGTGAGCAGGCATGGTTGGGAGAGGACACGGATAATCCTAGGATGTTAAATTTGAGGGTTCTCTGATATTTTCATCCAAGGATGGGTGTTTTTTTTAAATATTTATTTATTATGTATACAATATCCTGTATGTATGTCTACAGGCCAGAAGAAGGCACCAGATCTCATTCCAGATGGTTGTGAGCCACCATGTGGTTGCTGGGAATTGAACTCAGGACCTTTGGAAGAGCAGGCAATGCTCTTAACCGCTGAGCCATCTCTCCAGCCCCCGTTTTGTTCTGTTTTTGAGACAAAGTCTTACTCTGTAGCCCAAGCTGGCCTGGGACTCCAAATCCTCCTTGCCTCAGCCACCCAAGTGCTGGAATTGCAGGTGTCAGACGTCATGACTGGTTCTATGGGGCTCTTTGAACCCAGACACAAACTCAGAAGAGAAGCTGGGGACACACTGAGGGTCCATGGTGACCATGACAAGGTGGCAGCTGGCTGTACTGAGAAGGAAGAGGGAGTGGAAAGGGGCTCAGGATCCAGGTGAGCACCTCCAGCACTTCATGGGCCATTAGAAAAGGGGGCTTTGTGGGACTGGGGTGAAGCTCAGTTGCTAGGGTGCTTGCAGGTTCTGTCCCCAGCACTATATAAATAAAGTGTGGCTTGGACTCCTAACTGTGTGTGTGTGGGGCCGGGCCTTCCACACCCACCTGCAGTGTTCTAGCATGTGATATATTCTTAGGTTGTGGGAACGACTGAGGTCTGGGGAGGGGTCTAACGAGGATGGTCACATGCACTATACACCACAGCTAGGCTAGCCATTATCTTTTGATCATGTTGGTGACGGAACCTATGCTAGGCAAGTACTCTTCTCTGAGTGACATCCCTGCCTTATACAGGATGTTTCTGATGCTTTTGGTAACAGATGTGGCATTACCATGGGGGAAAGCCCTAGATTTCGGTGTTTTCATGGAACCTCCCCAAAATAGGCCACACCAACCTTGAAAACTCTACAAGGTTGATTGACAGATTAGAAAGCCGATGTTTCAGGAGAGGTGGAATGCTGCAGGTCCAGAATCTTCGCCCCCTAAATAGCCATTTATTGCCCACCTCTGTGTGCGACCTAACAGCCTTGTGACGGTCACGTGAAACCTCTAGGAATGTGTAGACAGACCCCTATCTCCTCCCAACCCAAAGCAAGAATGTCCCAAGACGCCTGGAGCAGAGGATTCCTTGTTTTGCTTTCAAGTTACCTACCTGGTGTACCCACAAATGTATTTCTTTTTTTTTAAATTTATTTATTATGTATTCAATATTCTGTCTGTGTGTATGCCTGCAGGCCAGAAGAGGGCACCAGACCCCATTACAGATGGTTGTGAGCCACCATGTGGTTGCTGGGAACTGAACTCAGGACCTTTGGAAGAGCAGGCAATGCTCTTAACCTCTGAGCCATCTCTCCAGCCCACAAATGTATTTCTTAAAAAAATCAAATTATGCCAGGCAGTGGTGGCACATGCTTTAATTCCAGCTCTCGGGAGGCAGAGGAAGGGGAATCTCTGAGTTCGAGGCCAGCCTGGTCTACAGAGCGAGTTCCAGGACAGCCACGGCTACACAGAGAAACCTTGCCTTGGAAAATCAAAAAACATACAAATAAAATAAAAAAAATTAAAGAACCAGGCTGTCATGGTGCACACCTTTAATCCCAGCAATCAGGAGGCAGAGACAATGTGATCTCTGAGTTCAAGGTCAGTCTGGTCTACATGCTAAGCAAGAACTACAGAGAAACCCTGTCTTGGAAAAAAATAAATTACACGTTATCTCTTCATTTATGCATTTTCTCTGTGTGTTTGTATATGCCATGCATGTGTGTGGACAGCAGAAGAATCAGGTCTCTCTCCATCGTGTGTATTTCAGAGACTGAAATTAGATTGTCCTGTGTGTTGATGGCACACACCTTTAATCCCATCACTTGGGAAGCAGAGGCAAGTGGGTCTCAATGAGTTTGAGGCCAGCCTGGTCTACAGAGCAAGTTCCAGGACAGCCAGGAATGTTACACACAGAGACCCTGCCTCGATCTGCCCCCTCCCCCACAAAAAAAAAAGAAGAAAAGAAAAGATAAAGAAATTAGACTGTCAGTCACGGCAGAAGAGCCTTTACCCGCTGACCGTCTTGACAGCTCCCACCAATATATTTGGAAGGTGTTTTGATTTATGACTTTCTTGGGTCTGTTACAACAAAAACCTCATAAGAGTCTGGGTTCCTGGGGCATGTTCACTCATATTTGGCTCCAGAAAAAGGTATCCTGATTCCTTTTGAGGTGGTCTGTCTTTCAGGTTGACTTCAGCACCCAAATCCATGTTCCTCCAACCCCATGCAAAAGGTGAGTTCATGAATGTCATTGGTCCAGCTAGTGATAACAGAATGCCTGCCAGTCGGAGCCCTAAATAAGGAGGGAGGCTTATGTGTGCGATGTGAGATGCTGGGGCTGGGGTGTGATTCCTTTGGGAGAGCACTTGCCTATCTTGCTCAAAGCCCTGCGGGCCCTCTCATAAGTGACACACGGTGCACACTTGTAATCCCAGACTCATAGTGGGGGCAGGAGGATCAGAGGATCAAGGTTATCTTTGACTATACAGAGTTCCGAGTTAGCCTGGGCCACATGAGACCCTGTCTTGAAAAGGTGGAGGGCAGGAAACCAGACGACTCAGTGGGTAAAGGTGCTTGCCCTGAGGCTTGATGAGCTGGGTTGAAGTCCCAAAACCCACATAGTACAAGGAAAGAACTAACTCCTGAAAGTTGTCCTTGACCTCCACACACATTCGCCTTGGCATGTGCACACACATGTACACATATGCATGTGAACACACACATACCATAAATAAATACATAAAATATTTTTTTAAATTATTTAATTTTATGTGCATTGGTGTTTTGGCTACATTCATGTCTATGTGAGTGTGTTGCATCCCCTGGAATGGAGTTACAGACAGCTGTGAACTGCCATCAGCTGGGAATTGAACCCAGGTCCTCTGGAAGAGCAGCCAGTGTGCTTAACTGCTGAACCACCTCTCCAGCCCCCAATTAAAAAATCTTTTTTAAAGGAATCTGAGCTTAATGTGGTAGCGCACACTTTTTCTTTCTTTGTTTGTTTTGTTTTTTCATGTCAGATTTCTCTGTGTTACAGTCCTGGCTGTCCTGAAACTCGCTAATAACCAGGCTGGCCTTGAACTCACTGAGATCCGCTGCTCTGCCTCCCCTGTGCTGGGATTTTAAAGTGTGTGCCACCACTGCCTGTCAGTAATACATATGTTTAACCCCTTTAATCTCTGCATTTGAAGCCAGTTTGGTCTACATAGAGAAGTCTAGACCACACTGGCAGAAGCAGGAGAATCTCTTTGAGTTCTAGGCCAGCCTGGTCTACAGAGTGAGTCCCAGGACAGCAAAGATTATATGGTGAGATCCTGTCTTAAATAAAATAAATAAATGCAATAGAGTAAAAATAGAGAACGATGGTACATGCCTTTCATTTCAGCACTTGGGAGGCAGAGGCAGGGGGATCTCTGAGTTTGAGGGCAGCCTGTTCT